TCTCACGTTACATTTTATTAAATTCAATGCACGTTTATATTCAGTCCCCAAAAAAAAACTCGTGTTCATGCAAAGAAGTCGTGCTTGTTGAAACAACGCCACGTTTAAGCTTTAAAACCGTTCAGAAATGTTGATGTTAACCGAGTTTAGCCGAAGCTAATTTTAAGCTAAGCGGCTAACAACAGGATGTCAACAGAACGTCACAGGAAGTCGTCATAGGCTCCTGCTGGTATAAAGCTAAACACTGCCCCCTCCTGTAGGAACTTGAGATCACAGTTTCACTGTGTTTTAGGTTATTTTTGAGTGAAATTAAACGTATTTTCTTTCTGTAAGGCATTTTTGAGTTAATAAACGTTCCTCAAAGCTGAATAATCACTGTTATCTTGCATTTAAAAAGTAATTAAGGTATTTATGCAGAAAGGCATTTACCAAAAAGCTTTTATTCACTGGTAATTCCTTATAAAATGGTACAAAATAAAAGTTAGAGACTTTAAAAAAAAAGATACGGTTCAGATATTCACAGAGTTGATAAGTTTACTCATTTGCTGGAAAGATAATGCACGTTTAATTGCTAGATCATTAAATAAGTGTAAATATATCAGGAAAATAGACTTTTCTGATCTTATTTTACCACCTAAAACAATTACATCTTCCTATTTAATTTTAAATAGAAGATATTGGCAGGAGAACAGGAGTAATAACAGTTTTTCTGAAGAAAGACTGATTAATCCTGACACATCATCAATTTTTATTTTTCTGTACACCTCTGAATTCTATGAGTAGCTGTAAAATAGCAAATTTCTGGAACAGAACAGTTTAAAAAGCGTTTTTTAAACTGATGTGCTGTGAGACTTTTTAGAAAATTGCAGGTTTATAAAAATTCAGTGCTTTAGAGTAAAATACACTGAGAAGCTTGGTAATCTAGTATCTGTTAAGAAATAAGCACATAAAAAGTAACACTGCATAGAAGCATTTACTTAAATATTCATGAATTGGGGTAAAACCTGGACAGGTGCCCACATTTGAATAAGTTGACTTATAACAGTACTTTTGTGTAAACCCAAAGCTTAAAATAGTGTGAAAACTCAATGACATTTGAATACATATATTTACCTGTAAAATATCTGAAGCTTGCAATTGTTTTACCCAGAAAAAGTGCTACACAGTGAATGAACATGACAGGTGTGGTAGAAAAAGATTTTGATCCTTATGGGATGAAGGGCTGTTTAGAATATGCGTTAGCACTGCTAACAGCATCCTTACATCCATATGGCAAACAGGTGGACAGCATGAACCCAAAAGAGTTAGTGGACAATCTGATGGAGGTTGCAGAGAGTGTGACCTCTACAGAAGTTACAATGTCAAGCTATGAAAAGCTGGCTAAAATTGCAATTTTGCTGAAAGAATCATTCTATACAGTTGTTGAGAAAGCTGATTACCTTGCAATAAGGTTAGACAGTGAAAAAGAGGTGGTTCAGAAAATTGAAGAACACTTCCTTCAATTTGAGAGCGAACACGAGGTCCTCATGACAAAACATTATGAACAGATGTTTCAATTACAGCAAAATGCAAATGCGGAAATTGATTCGCTGAATAGCAAAATACAGTTACTTAAAGCATCACTATCTGAAGCCAGGGATGCTAAAGAGCTGTTGTCCAGTGAATACTTTGCATTAAGACGGGATCACGACGAGAAAATGTCACAAGTTTCCCGCTGCAAAGGTGAAATAGATGTGCTTAAAAAAGATCTGGAAGACCGCAGAGTGGATAAACAAGCAACATATAAAAGTTCTGACGTGGGGCGAGTTTATCTGGAACTCAGAGAAGACCGTGGACAGAGTCCAGGTCACCCACAACCACCTCAGAAAGACGTTGTTGCACCTCCTGCTCGTAATCCACCCTCACCTAAAGTGGTAGGAACAGACCTGAACAGGTCTCCTCCACCAAACATGCAACAGAGTGCATGGAAACTTCCTCTTTCAATGGATGTTCTGCTAAAACTCTCAAAATATGTACAACGCTTTGTACCTGGACCGATGGGTTCAACTGGAACAAAAGCATACCTGAAAGATCTCGAATTCAGATTGAAAGGTTATCCTAATGCTACGGTTGAGGATAAGATCAGTATGATAAGGCTCACTTCAGACAGAGAGGTGTTCGCCTTCATCGAGCGTCTACCTGATGCAACAAGAAAGGATTACAACCTTCTGTGTGAGGCTTTGATCAGAGAGTACGACCCCTGCACGGGACCTGCTGGTTTCCCAGCCGCTGACAAGGTCAAGCAGGGCAAGAATGAACATCCAAAGATTTATTACAAAAGAATCTTCCAAGCTTATTTTGGTTACAGAAATGAAACCGGAATGGGGGAAGAAGAAAATTTTAAATATGTTTTCAGCAAAAATCTCAACACTGACATACGCATGTCAGTACAAGTTATGGCAAATTTCAGAGAAAATCCATCAATGAGATTAAACAGTGTGCTGTGAATGTGTTCGAGGCATGTTCTCATGCTAAGACGCCCATAGAGGTGTTTCCTGGTATAAAGGTTAAACCCCACTCCCTAAAAATGGAAGGAAGGCGTGCGTCGCCACCTCCTCCTAAAACAGGCGAGAAAAGGCAGTATTTTCAAACTAACAAACCACGTAATGAAGGTGCACGCTGGGACAAAAAGGCTCCTCTTTCAGAGGATGGACGTGATTATCGTATATGGGACATGCGTAGGACGCAAAGATATGGGATCCGAGAGGACCCATATAATCAGGGAAAGTACATAAAGGAACCCCCAAAAGACGTACCTAACCCTCCCCCACCTCGGACGAAACGAACCGAGGCGATAAAATCACAAAGGTCCCAGGAACAAGGCCCTACATCTCTGAGCTCGGAGGAGACAGAGAAACTACAAAGGTTTGTAGAAACTTTGAAAAACGCTGAAATGGGAATCCAACCAGGAGCACAATGTAGTGATCTGATCGCTACTAAATCTGAAGGCGCGAATGACAACATTACAGATGTCGGTGAAACGCACCAAGACATTGCTGTCGCTGCCTCCAACAACCCCTCATCGGACGAAGGGGGGGTAAACTCACACACAAACGATGATGAGTCATCACAAACTGAAAA